TCTATAACTCAAAACCTGAGGATTCATTCACTCTTTCTCTGATGAAACCTCCAACTGATAGTTCTGATTTGCAATATGTTGAAGAATTCATGGAATCCTTTAGCTTAGAGGATAGAATGTTACGGCCAGGTCAAACACTTACAGTATGGCTGACTTGTAAACCCAAAGAAATTGGATTGCACACATCAGCTGTGCATTTCAATGTGGGTGATGACACCATAGAAAGATTAGTTTTTGTCTTGGCTGAGGATAAGGTTTCCCAGTCTCTGGCTTCAAGGAGGCCGTTCCACAGAGACAGAAAGAAGAAAGTACCAGCAGTAGATGTTTTTGCTGCAAATGCATTTGTTGTGGGTTCCCGTCCTACAAGGGCTCCAAATCGAGGTTTCAGATACAGACTTCCTTCATATCCAATTCCAGGTGATATACGGGAAATGATAGAGAACAAACAATTTCCTGATGTTATTGGGGAAGGTTTAAGAAGAGACAATTATATTGCTTATTTTAGAACTTTACTAGCAATTGAAGAAATCAAGATGGAGGTATTTGTTCAGATTTTGATTTGAAGTAAGACTTGATTTTGGGTAGCACTTATATCTTATAGTTTCTTGCATCAGGAAGACATGAGGGACTATGATATGTTGTCAGTCACCATGAAGCGCAAAGGACTACAGTTCTTGTCCCTTGATGTCCCAGGGCTAGCCGAGAGGAGGCCATCACTTGTTTATGGAGATTTTATCTTTGCAAGGCTAGCTTCTGGAGATGCTAGTGAGATCACCCCTTACCAGGTGCATTCATATTTGTGCTTTGTTTTATATCTTAAGCTGCTACTTGATAATATAAGCTCTCTTTACTGCATAATTTGGTAACAACTATTACAAATCCATTTTACCTGTAGATTTTCGAAGTTGCAAGGAATCATTTGATGTATTTGTACATGGCCAAATACATACGCAGCCCCTGAAACTCGGCTTGGATTTTTTTTAGCACCTCAACTTAGCCAAGACCATTTGAACACGCCATAGACTGTGTTTTTAGACCCTTGAATGGTAATCCCTAAGAAAACTAGGACGCGGGAAGCCGGGAACTTACATGCGGTTATCTGTCAAATATGACAAATAAGATAATTCCACGTAGCTTCTCATCAAACTAATGCAAGAAAAAGAAAAAAAAGGGCTTTTGAGCTGAAAAAGGAAACAAGAAGATGCAATAATTGTTAAGAAACTCCCGGAAAGCCAAAACTTCACAATCTCTCTGTATCATCTTATCCACCAGCTGAGATTCTTACCCTTCCAACATTAAAATTCTTCAGTCCTTCTCCTCCACCATCTATATTGATCAGCAACACCACTACTTCAAAGCTTCATTTCACCTCCCAGTTTGTCTCTATAAATTGTTGAGAAAACATGTAAACACGGGTCTACAAATTTCATCATAGACCACAATATCATCGAGAAAAAAGCAAAAAAGCTTGGTTTCGTTATTGCATCAAGAATTTCATTGTGATAAAATTTTATCATTGTAGTAGAATCTGTTAAGATTGATTCAGAGAATTTGAAGCATATTTGTGCAAGCATAGCCACAAACACAAGTATCTATCACCAAAAATTGCAAATTATTCCTTTTAGGCCATTTTCTCTGTCTTATAATGGTCAAGCTCCTACTGTGCATTAGCTACATGCGTTCCCAAGAAATATTTTAAAAGGATTGAAGACTTCCTCTTTCTTTGAGAACAACGATCTTAGAATCTTGTTCCAAATTTTCTCTGTTTCGGCAACTGGACTGTCTTTCTTTATCTTATGTTAAAAAAGATGGAAGAAAAAATTGATCTGTCAAGAAGAGGTCAGAGAAAAGAAAGAAGAAAGGGAGAATCACAGGAAAGAAATGTAAAAAGGTGATATTAGGAGTGGGCCTCATTTATTTCTGTTAAAGTCATTCTACGCACCTGATAAAAGTGAGAAACATATATAGATGATAGATTCATGTCAGCATAATGTGGTTAGTGATACAATTCAAGGGTACATGAAGTGTTAAAATAATGTTTAACTAAGTTAAGGTGCCAAAAGGAATTTTAAGCCAAGTGGGAGGGGCTATCTATGCATTGCCTTTATACATCCAAATCTCTGCTAGATAAGGTCCTTGTGTTGTCTTCTATTACCTTTAAAATCACACCTCTTGAAATAGTCATGTTGATCTTTACAACTATGGATGTCATGGTAGAACATCAACATTTCTATTTGTATTCTTCCTTGAGTCTCTTTTTATTTTGTTTCTGTTATTAAATTCATTTTCATCTATTTTACTAGAAAGGGTGACAACTTTTGTGATGCCTGGCTGCTATGTCTAGCTGTTGTTTGCTAAGTTGCATCTCAGTACAATCAATTGAAGGCCCGAGGTTCAAATACTTGGGGATGAGGAAATTCAATGGTTTCCAATATTTAGTCTTTAGGGAAATTAAGCTGTGCAATGAATGACACATGCATAGCACCCCCTTTATATGATACATGTTAAAAGTTACACTCTCAGTTATGCATATGAAGAATTTTAAAGGGAAAATGATTATATATCAGCAAGATTTTACTCATGAACTTGATAGATCAAAAGGAGAATAAATGTATTAACATAAACTTGGTGATTTTTGTGGTTCTTGGACAGGGTTATATCCACCGAGTTGAGGCGGAAGAAGTATATTTGAAGTTTGATGAAGAATTCCACATCAACCATGTTCCTGGAAATCTGTACAATGTGCAATTTTCATTCAATCGTACGGGTGTGCGGAGGTTACATCAAGCCATTGAAGCTACAGAAAGCTTAAATGGAGAAATTCTCTTTCCATCAGGCATATCCAGAACGAGAAATATACAAGCTGCTAGACTGGCACCTAATTCATGTATGCTTAACAAGGAACAAACAACTGCAGTTGAAAAGATTCTTGGGTGCAAAGGAGGGGCTCCATATGTTATCCATGGGCCTCCTGGTACAGGCAAAACAAGGACTCTTATAGAAGCTATCATCCAGGTACGTATTATGAGGAAAGATGCTCGAGTTCTTGTCTGTGCACCTTCAAATAGTGCTGCAGACCATATACTTGAGAAACTTGTCAGTCAGCAGAATGTTGAAGTGCAGGACAATGAGATTCTTAGGTTGAATGCACTCACACGTCCTTTAGATGATGTGAATCCTAGTTACCTTCGTTTTTGCAATGCTGAAGATAATTCTTTTAAGTGCCCCCTTCTCAGGGACCTTAAAAGATATACGGTTATTATATCTACATATGCTAGTGCATGTCTTCTTTATTCAGAGGGCATCAAACGGGGACACTTCTCTCATATTTTCTTGGATGAGGCAGGACAGGCATCAGAGCCTGATACCATGGTTCCTCTATCACATCTTTTAAAGAAAGAGACAGTCGTTGTACTTGCTGGTGACCCACAGCAACTTGGTCCCATTGTTTTCTCAAAAGATGCTGAAAATTATGGATTGGCAACTTCATATATGGAGAGGTTATTTGAATGCCAGTTATATGGTGATCTCAACGAAAATTATGCTACCAGACTAGTAAGGAATTATCGGTGTCATCCGGTAATTCTGCAGCTTCCCTCAGAAATGTTTTATGAAGGAGAGTTGATCCCATGTAAAGAAGATAAAACTTTTACCCAGACTTGGGTGGACCTGCTTCCAAACAAGGAATTTCCGTTGGTTTTCATTGGCATACAGGGTTGTGATGAAAGAGAAGGAAGCAACCCATCATGGTTCAACAGGATCGAAGCAAGCAAGGTGGTAGAGATCATCAGAGATCTGATAGGGAACAAAGGTCTGAAAGAGGAAGATATTGGGGTGATAACACCTTATAGGCAGCAAGTACTGAAAATAAGAACAGCCCTTGAGAGCTTTGAGTGGGCTAATATAAAGGTTGGCAGCGTAGAGCAATTCCAAGGTCAGGAGAGAGAAGTTATTATCATATCGACCGTCCGGTCGACGATTCAGCATAATGACTTCGACAGAATCCATTACTTAGGATTCTTAAGCAATCCGAGAAGGTTCAATGTTGCTGCTACAAGAGCCAGATCATTGCTTGTAGTTGTCGGGAATCCACACATCATCTGCAAGGTGATTCTGTATTTTTTTCTGCTACTGCATTTGTAGTACCTACGTAGATTTGATATGCCATAGTTTTTTGTTTTTTTTTTGATATGCCATAGTAAAGGTGGAGTTTCTGTCTATCTATTTCTGAAAATTTTCCTTATACTGGTGATACCTTTTGTTGGCATTTTTGCAGGTTATACCTATTGAGTCATTCATAAAAGTTGAATTAGAAAATGTGACTTTCCTCTTGAATTTGTTATGGGCCTATGTAGAGCTTAAAATTATGAATCTTGAGACATATTTTGCCAATTGTTCCATCTATTAGTGAGAAATACTAATTCTTGTTAATGTATATGATATGGCAGGATCCCTTCTGGAACAAGCTTTTGTGGTATTGTGCAGACAATGACTCCTACAAGGGCTGCTTCTTACCTGAAAAACTGGAGATCCCTCAAGAGGATTTCGGACAAGCAAATAATTGGTTTCAAGAGTATTCCGGACAAGCAAATAATTGGGATGATGTTGGGGCACAAGTAAATAACTGGGACTGTGAAGGAGCAGAAGCTAATGATTGGGACCAAGACCAGGTGGGAAAAGTTAACAATTGGGACCAAGACCAAGGCGGACAAGTCAACAATTGGGACCAAGATGAAGGGGAACTAGCTAAGAATTGGAATGAGGAAGGCACTTGCGTCAATGAAGAGAAACAGAGTTTTCAGCCATCTCCTGATGTTGAGGGTACAACGCACCAAACAGACTACATCCCGGACCCTGTTATGGATGAAGCTGAATGGTCTGATGGTTGGAAATAACTACTCAGTTTATTATGCTAGTGGGTGAATCTTTTGGATGTTACATTGAACCTCAAAACTCAAAGAACCTTTTCAGATTCTGCACTAGAATGTGTGGTTATTGCATTTTGAAAAAATTCAAGCGCAGGAATGCCTGCACTTTAGCTACATGTATAGATGCTATCTATCTATCTATATATTTAAAATGGTTTGGGAAATTCAAGCTCAAAATTTATGTAAAAGCTGATACCTTGAAACCTATATTCCATGAAACGTACTGCAATGAGTGTTATCAGAGCACTTTAAACCTGATGTACATCTACATCACACTTCTAACACATGTTTACATTGATTTGCCAGTTCAGTTGAACTGCAAAGCCATTACCCCACAGGCTGCTAGAAGAACAAATACTGAAAATCTCTGGGAACCCTGTGCTGGTGATGGTATCAAATTAGGCTTGAACCCTAAATTTGTATCAGGGTCTCCAAAGATATCTGTTGGAGATGGTCTTGTATCAGCCACTGGTCTTAGAGGAGGTGTGTATGGTTGAGGAACATTATTAGCAGCTGCAAAATGTGAAACAAACAATAGCTAGACTTCAAGATTCAACAAATTCAAGAAAAATTCATCAGAAGATCAGAGTTTTAATTACCTTTAGGACTAGGAGATGGAATAGGGGAAGGTGATGCTGCATGCAATGTAATAAACAAGTCAGAAATTAGTGACCTAATATCAATTGGAACGAGTGTAATTTCACGTATGATCACTGACTCATTTAATTACCCTTGCACTGAACGGGGACACCATCCATTTTACAAGCTTTAGGGAGGGAAATAGCCAAAGTCCTGTTAATGGGAACGCGAAAAGGAACGTTTCCAGTAACAACAAGGCAGAGGCAATCTGTGCCATTGTTCATGACATACTTGAGAGATCTGCAACAATCTGAAGTTGGTGAAGAATTATTGCTCCCACCATTGCTAATGAAGTTTATGCAAGGGCTAAAGCTACGTAGCATGGCCGCGCTACACACTGTACTAATCTGCCCGGAAACTGATTGCGTGCTGAAAATCATTAAAACAAGAGTCAAAATTGAAGATAGTATTATCCCTTCCATTTTTGTAATGAATTTGAAAGATTTGTAGAGTTAGTAATTAAAAGGGAATGTGTATGTATGGAGGAAAAATGATTGCATAGAAAATTGATGTTGGATATAGAAGATATTATTACTGATTAGAAGTAATTTATAGATCAATAGATGAAAATAACAAGGAGAAATATGTAGGTTCAAAGTGGTTTGTGGAGCTCAACTACCTTAACTAACTTCAAATAATAAAGAATGTTTAAGTCACCTTTAAACATAATTAATTGCATTTGGATTTTCGAAGTTCTTAATTAAATTGATATCCAAGGGATTCAAGCTAGTTGTGTGACATGATTACTCCTTGAAATTCAAGTCACATTTAATCTTCATACCTCGTAGAATTTTGATTGTTTAATATTGATCAGACTTACATACGCTCCGTTCTTTATATATCAAATTAATTAATGTATACATGGTACACATTTTTTAAAAATAAAAATAAAATTTAGTTTGTAAAAAATAATATTTCAATTCATTTTAGCGTATGAATGAATGTGACATTTGGACGTCTCAAAATTTAATAAGGTGTTATGTGGAATGTGACATTAATCTAAGTGTATATAAATGTTCGCCATAAATAACTAATAATTATTTTTACTTATAATTAGCTAAACTTCTTATTAAGGTTGTGTGCATGACTGTAAAATACTTGAATGGACAATAATTTTATACTAAAATCAATTATTATGCATAGATCTTTTGTTTTCTTCAAGGTTTAATCTAGAAATAGGTGGTTATATACATTGACTAAACTCTCTAATTTTACTTTTACTTGAAAAGGGAAGTGAAATTGGGTAAAGACTTCAATCCTTAGATTAAATCTAGAGATAGTCTAAATCTGATTGATTTCTCGTTTAATTATTAGAGTTAGAGACGGTCTAATCATCTCAAACAATATTTGATGTTTTTTTATAACGTTTCGGGGTTCAGAAGAACCTTAGATCAAGAAAACTTTGGATATATTGTTAGCCAAATGGTATCCATGTAGTGAGTTACCATTTCTCCTTTTTTAAAATACTTGTTTAATACAATGTGCTTGTTATATTTGAATTAACAAACTAACGAAATAATCCTTATGAATTCAATCTCTATCTCATAAAAATTGGGTATTATTTTTACATATACGACAACTGCTGCATTTGCTAAGTCTGTTCAAGTTTTTGTATTTCGGGTTTTAAAAAAATCTAGATATTTGACATGTTTCAGAGGAGGTGAAATCGTACAGATTGGTGTCTCAAGGGCGACACAAAATCTGTCAAGGAACCAAAAGGCCATTAGAAGGGAAAAAGAGAAAAAAATTAAAAAATTTAAATCTCTGAAGATGTCCCCTAATATGTAACACGTGATTTTATTCATATTTTTGAAATAAAATGGAGTAGACTGGCTGATTATGAGGAAATTCCAGATTTAAAAGCCTTAACTTATTTAACAGACGATCATGTCTTTGAATGTGATTGTTGTTGTATTGGATTTATTATTCCTTATGCAGAGCACTTTTAAATGACTAATATGTATGAGTTTTTTTACTATAGTCAAGTGTCACTATTTCACCAACAACCAACACAAAACCTAAAATATTTTTATTTTGGAAAAGACTGGAATATATCATTTAAATTTGAGAAAATATTTATACTCTGGTGATTGAGATCATTTTATTCTGGGAGGTCATATTTCAAATCAAACCTCGCATACTAGACGGGAATAATTTCCTTAAGGAGACACTGTGAATTCAGTGGATTTGATCTTTTTTCTATTAAAATTTTTTCAGATTCTGGTACGTGTTTTACAAACTTTAGATTTGTAAATTAATTTTAGTTCTTCTATTCTTTTGTTCTTCACTGGTTCATTAAACTTGGTAACTTCGTGTTTCTGCAAAGTTTGTTGGAATCAGTAATATTCTTTAGACACATATTTACAACAATTCTTCTTAAGAAAAATATTTCGTATATTGTTTTTTAAAATCTGTTTCTGATTCTAGTTTCGCTACTAGTTTTAATTTTCTAGTTGTGAAAATGTTCTTAAACTTTGTTTTTTTACAAAGATGTTCAAAGTTTTGTTCTACGTATGTTTGGAATACAAGATGAACAACAGAGGGGAATTAATGAGAGAAAATACTTCCTTTTTCTTTGGAAAAGAAAAAAACATATGAGAGAGAATGAGTTGGAAAACTATAATTAAGGTGAAAATAAAATAGGAACTAAATTAGGATACATAATATTTTACAAAAATATTGACATTTTGACAAAAAAATTACACGGGCATATTATTTTTGGAAATATTTAATTTTTTTAATTAATATATTTTAATATTATTAATATTAAAATAAAAATAATAACAGAGTGTTATATGGTAACTTGAATTATAAATTAATTGTGGCAAATTTAATTAGGATTCTTATTTGTCTTACCAAAAATAAAAAATACATAATTTCTTGTGTTTTCTTATTGGAAAGCACTTCAATCCTTCAAAGAAAATCATTGCCAACATATTTTTTTTTATAAGAACCGGTACTTGTTGCCATTGAAGCAATGCTAGCAAAATATTAATATGAAACTATTCCAGAAACATAAAGTGCAACAAAATCAACATATTCAAACTTAGAAGAGTAAGCAAACAAAATCAAACACTATTAAATACGGCCCATGATTTAATCACAATTGCATGCTTGGTTACATTTTTTTAAACGAAATCCTTCTTTTGAACAAACAAACTCTTGACCAATAATGGATTTATCTTTTCTTGATCTACTAATTCGATTTTTGCGCACACTAAAACCATTACGATGAGCATAATCAAGATAAAATTTAAATCCAGTATCAAGTGATTGAAATTCCATACCGATGGAAGGCTCTCTTAATTCTTGCTCACCTAGTTGAGGAACAAAAGATACAACTGCATTCATGTTGCTTTCTATATCCTCCAAGGAATCTTCAATTCCTTCTGCATTTTGCTCTTCTAAATTAGAGATTTCAAAAGTTTCCTGCAATACACAATTATTAGATATTAGACTGATAGGGTAAGTTAGCTTTAAAATTTTAAATATTTTTCATGGCTAATGTATTGAACTTCTTCAATTTGCTAAAAAGTTCTTAAACGTATTCTTTAAATATCTTCATCACTACAAAACATAAATTTCTTCATACATTAAAACAAGAATATTTCTTTGAAACGTTTATTCATGTTGCGAAAAAGACTTAATAAGTTATGTAAAAAAAGATATACGAGGAAAACGCTACCATGATAATTGTTTCAAATTGCTTCAATGGTGGATAGTTGGTTGCTTCAATGGTTTATGTAGAAAAAGAAGAACGTTAATCCAACTAAGAAAACACAAGAAATTATGTATTTTTTATTTTTGGTAAGACAAATAAGAATCCTAATTAAATTTGTACAATTAATTTATAATTCAAGTTACCATATAACACTATGTTATTATTTTTATTTTAATATTAATAATATTAAAATATATTAATTAAAAAAATTAAATATTTCCAAAAATAAAATGTCCGTGTAATTTTTTTGTCCACCGTCGGTGGATAGCAGTTAAACTCTTTTACCTAATATTTTTAAATTATAGGTGTTTTTAATAATTATATTAGAAATTTTGACTAAATTACTAATTTTCCCTAATATCAAATGTATTAGATTCTTCTTTGTTTCTGTATCATTTTTCTCTTGAAACACAGATTTACAGATGTATAACCAAATGAAGATTTAATCATCTTATTCCCTTGTTTAAACAAAGAAATTGAGTTTTTGGTTACAGGTCCAGCTAACTTAAAACCAACTAGGTCACTTCCAGTTCCACTGGTATAATTTGTTTAAATACTTTTTTTTTTAAAAAAGAAAGAAATACGAAGGGGATTACATGATGGAGAATCGAACTCTTACCAATAAAATGAAAATTTAGGTAATCAATTAACTGAACAATTAAGATTCTCTCGTTAAAATAATTAAGATTCATATTTGGGCTGAATTCATACCTTATCTCCTTTTAGTAATTATCTTTTTTGTTCATATCTTTATATGATATTAGATGAAATTAACTACTTTTAAGTTTTGACGTTTATACCTTTATATATGCAATGATATAAATCTTCATGACCCTTAAACTTTAATTATACGTGATATAAACGGAACCTAACCAACTCAATCATATATTATTGAAAGTTTGAAGCTCCTAACCTTAAAGTTGAATTACCATTTTGTTCTTCGCTTAATTTTTTTTAATGTACAAAATGTAAATATATATTTTAATAACTAATTAAATAATCAATGTTAAGTATTCAATTTAAATTATTGTAATTAAGATATAATGGAAGATAAAAAGTCATTCAAATGAATGAAATAGATTACATTAATTTGCTAGGTGGAAGTTTAAACATTTCAAATGAAAAGTATTAAAAGAAACTGTTATATATTACAATCCCCAAAAATTTATTCTTCATCGTAATTTGTATGTTTTCTCTTTCAGGTTCTCTTTTATGACAATATTGTGTAGTTGAATTTGGTTTAGACAATATAAGACTCTCATCTTCCTCTCCTTTTTTACATAAAGTTCTTATGGTATGTTCTTTCATATTTTGTATTCTGTCTAATGTTTTAATTTTTTATTTATCATATAAATCATGCCCAATTCTTTAATTGTTATCTAAGGATTCTATCTTTCACATGAAAATAAACTATTAAAATTTTGTTGTCACCATTTATGTAGTCCATTTTTTAGTTTCAAGAATAAATATATGATGATTTTGCAGGCAGTTGAATTACTTTGTTGCTTCTATTTTTCATGATAAGTATTGGATATGACTTCTTTATTTACCAAATAGATATTTAGTGTTTACCTTCAATACTATTAGGAACTTGAATTTATTATTTTAATAATTGAAGAATTTTTTATAATGTCTTTGTGGATTTTAAGAAGTTTATATTTGCTTCGTAAGAGTAACATACGCTTAAAAGTAGAAAGAATGTTACGCAAAAGATAGATGACCGTTTTACTTCTATATTAAATTAAAATATTTAACTATTTAATAAATTTGATATTAAATAGTAACTCATCACATTAGTCATGAATCA